CTCATACACACACCCCCTTTTCTTTAAAATACACTGCAACATCTTTACGATGGTGCGTTCTTCTGCCAACATGTTGGAACCCATCTTGCTTACTTTTCTTCCCTGTCTCTCGGTTGGTTACCCACTCTCCGACGGTGTAGGTGATGTAAATTCACGTAGTCTACCCGGGATTTTCTGTCCGCTCAGTCCAGCTGGCAAGACGATCACTCAACTGAAACGTCCCCCCCGGAGCACGCAGCCCTCTTCCGCAAGCTGCGCCTTTCGACCGCGCATCGGGGTCACCATTTGAGGGGATGAAGGCACAGACCCAGAGCATCTTCATGCAGTGAATCCCTTTATTGCCTACTGCTCTAACTTTTTATACCATTCTAACAACAGTTATTTTTAGCCTATTGCTTTAGTTTTTATACCATTCTATTTGTAGCCTATCGTGTTTAGTTCCCGACTTATAGTTTGTTTTTTAACACCGCTTGCTTTCTCCCAGCCAGTGCCAGAGTAGCCAGTCTCTTATCTTTATGCTCTTTCCTCCTCAGCCAGGTGTCTTGGTGTCTTATGCTCTCTCCTCCTTATCCAGCTGGGTTGCTCTGCTTGATTGTACTTGGTTTCTTCTTTAACTCTTTCTCCTCCAGCCAAGCAGTTACTTCTCTTTGGCAATAATCATATAGTTTCCACTGTCTCCCACACAGTATCTTGTTTTGTCATCTCTAAGAGAAGTCTAGAAGAGGAGAGGGTATTAGGATGGTCACATGTAGAAAGAGTATAGAGAAAGCCTGCCAGGTGCAGCTGTTTAATTTCGCCCTTTATAATAGAACATGATGACACTCAAAATTAAGAAGAAGCTGTTGTAAAATTGAACTGTATTAGCATTTAAACGTGATGAATCATCCAGAGAAGGTTTGTTACAGCTTCCAAATAGGTTTGTCCTTTATTAATAAAAAAGGGGACACTTACTTATGCTAAAAGACAACAATTGTTAAATCAGGAAGGTAAGAGAGTAGATTACTAAAAACATTCAATCAATTGGCAGCAATCTCATGTCTACAGGCTATTATTAAAGCAAATAGCTTAGTAATTCTTTAGAAAGATGTTAGAGTAGGAATAGTGAATGTACTTAAATTAATTGAGATTATGGGGAAAATTTAGTTTTGTTAAGAACAAACTGTATTATACAGTTATTTGTGCTGTGAAAATAGGTTGTATTTTCCTCTTAGACATCAGCAATAAATACTAGTGGAAGCAGGATGCTGGGCCAAATACAAGAGGTTCTGATAACTTCTAGCCTTCTCTGAGCATTGTTTCTAACTGGACTTGCTCCAAAGCTTCTTCATAGTTCTGAGGTTGAATCAGACCCTTTAAAGGCACACACTGGTTTCAGTTCTGCATGAGATCTTTCCAGTATCTGAAGCCACCTGCTTGGACCAAAAAGTCCACCTCTAAAAGCAAGTACAGCTGAGTTCCTCATACTTATACTTCAGATGTGCATGCTGGCTGCAATGGTTTGTTCTTAATACTTTGTTTAGAATAAATTGCTGAGTAATATCTGTGCTATCCCTTTGCATCTCTTTCTAATCCAATCTAAGACTTGTGCACATAGCAGAAAAGTCACTACACAGTCATTAACAGAGAACATTTATAGCTTGTTTTGTTTTATTGTGGGTTTGTTGTTTGTTTTTTGGTGAGGTTCAGGTATTGATAATTACATTAACATGTGCTTAGTTTTTGCATAGGATCAGACTGCTGTTTGGCAGACCAAATTAACACATGGACTGTCCACATCTATAACCTTTGTCAGTAGAAGATACCTACTGCTTGGTCTTATCTTCAGAGAACTTAGGGACGATGGTGATTTAGTAAACAAATCCTATCACTCCATCGGGTAATCTTCTTGTATTTGGAATAGTTATTATGGGAGCTCTGGATGTCCTTCCATGGATTATTTATAATAAAAGTAAAATATGTCCAGGACCATAGTTTGCAAAAGGCTACCACCAGCCTGACTTCATATTTAGGTATTTGTTTTATCTGTGGGTCAGGATCTGCATGTATTACTATTGGCTGCAGTTCACTCTAGAGTCACTTTACCATCATCAGAATCCAACCGCATACAACAGTCACTTCATAGAAATCACAAGATCTTTGTGCCTAAATTTGAAATATGAAGGAAGAAAACAAACATCAGAGAAGAAAAAACATTGGGTAGGGCTTCCTGGATGATTTGAATTAAGATAAACAGGCACACACCGCATGTGACTGGGCACTAACAGTAATTTCGTTTGGTTCACCTAGAAAAAAGAAGAATGGAGAAGAAGAACAGCCGAAGTCCTCTGTCAGTAATCAGTACCGAATTGTTACACCCACATTCCAGTATAATATGGACTACAAGAAAGTTGGCAAATGTATTATTATAAACAACAAAAATTTTGAAGACAAAACAGGTAATGTTCTTCTTTTGATGATACTCATTACAGACCTTAGAATTTTCATGCTTTCATGAATCAGTAAGCCTTTTATTTTTAGGACATGGAGTTTTAATGATTATATTTATCTTTTTCGAGAAATAGATGTTCCTACAGTTTATTCCTGTTTTTTAGCACTTACAGTAGAGCAGCTCTTTGCAGCTCATGTTTCAAAGAGCATGTCAGCTTGCTCTACCAACTTCAAACTAAACCTTTGTTCCAGAGTCTAGGGCTAGATTGTTAAAATTTGAACTTTGGCATTTGCAGCCCATGTTATAACTCTTCTGACCCTGAGCTACAGCTATGAGCTAGAAAAGCTAATAGCTGTAGCTGTGCTCTGTTCACACTCCTGCATTTAACATTACAGACCATGTAGTTTCAAAGTAGACAGATCCTTGTCTACAGTTCTTTTCCTATATACTTCGCAGACACACTAAATCAAGTGTTTACTCCAAAGAATTTACATCACTTTCTTTTGGATGGGTGTCACAGGGACTCTCTTCCGCTGTTTCTCAGTCACACTTAATAACCAAAAGGAGACAGAATCATCCATAGTGGTCCAATGTTGCAAGGTGCTGGAGGCAGGCCAACATTTTTCAGGATAAGATCCATGTTAACATTGAACCTTGCATTAAAACAAATCTTACAGTTTGTTCTCAGTGCTGAGAATGCTGTTAGGAAGATTGTTTTAAAATCATGTCACCACGACACTGTTTAGGTTTATTCATTATAAACCTAAAAATTTACCTTTGAACACGTGATTCGTTTTGAATTGTGTAATGTGCAATCAACCATATTCTTTGTTTCCTGGCAGGAATGGGCACACGCAATGGCACTGATAAAGATGCTGGAGATTTAGCTAAGAGTTTTAAGAACTTGGGTTTTGAGGTTTGCACATACAATGACCGAAGCCGGGGTGATATGGAAAAATTACTGAAGCAAGGTAAAAAATGAGAATCATAGAATAATTTAGAGTGGAAAAGACCTCTGGAAGTCACTGAATCTACCCCCTGCTCAAAGCAAGTCAAATTAGAACAGATTGTTTAGGCCCCACTTCTGTATAGAAGGATTTGGTTTCTGAATGGATTTGGCTTAATTCCCCACCTCTTCCTCCAACATCAATTCAGAAATACGGTTTTCATGTCATATTAGGAATCAGAAGCATGTGTCCTGTGTGTTAGGTGAAAAGCCATGTCATATTAGATGAAGAGTTGAGGCCTGTTGACTCCAGTGTGCTAGACTCGGAGTCAAGTGAAAGATGCATTCATGTGTTCAAGGTACACATCACTGTACTAAAAAGTGGGTTGCAGCGTCTTTATCCACTTTATATAGGCCCAGTGTATATTTAGTCTCAGAAAAATATGTTTGCTAAATATAATTTTCATTTAGAATGTTGCTTCCTTTTGGCTAAGAGGTATTTGACTTGCAGCTGCTGAGGAGAATCACAGTGATGCCGCTTGTTTTGCCTGTATCCTTCTAAGCCATGGAGAAGAAGGCCTCATCTATGGCACTGATGGACCCATGGCTATCAAGAGTTTGACTGCGCTATTCAGAGGAGACAAGTGTAAAAGCCTTGTAGGCAAACCCAAATTATTCTTCATTCAGGTAAGAGCCCTAAGGTAAATACAGTACCCTACTGCTGCAGTGGGGAAAACATGCTATGCTGGTTGTTTGCTCTAGAATGTGTGTTAACTTACTGAATTGTAGTGGATGTTTTACAAAGAACTGTGTTGAGAGAAGTTGTCTATGGGAGACTTGTTTGGTTTTAAAAATTAATTTATATATAACATTCACAGATGTAAAGAGTATATTGTCACTGTAAATTTGTACATAGTGGCTCTTTGTGCTTGGTAATATGTGAACTTCCAAGCAGAAAGATAAACTCCTTCTTGGGCAGACAGAGCTGAGACAGGACATGGTTACACATTACACTTGTGAATTACTTGTCAATTACGCTTGCTAATTGCTGACTATTATATATAATAAGCTTATATAATAAACTACTGCTGACTTGGCACTTTGACAGTCCACTGAAATCCACAGCCTGCAACACCATTCCCTCCCTTCACTGTACAGAATGTATATTTTAAAATGGGCAAACTAGTAACTTTATCACTGGACAATGAGACCTCCCACAGAATTTCATTTACTTCTAATTCATGCAAAGTACTGTTTAAACCCATGTAAATTAAAAACTGTTAATGCTCATTTTTATAGCACCTCATTTCTCATTATTGGACAAGTTCTCTTTGTCTTCACTGCTTTCAGGCATGCAGAGGCTCTGAATTTGATGAAGGCATACAAACTGACTCTGGACCTGCAAACGACACTCTAGAAACAGATGCCAATCCAAGATACAAAATCCCAGTAGAAGCAGATTTTCTGTTTGCATATTCCACAGTGCCAGGTAATTAAAAGGGGGTCAGGGTGGGGATAGAAGACAAAAAACTTACTACCCATATTGATTTGATGGTAAACTGACCCTCATTGATAACACATTGTACATTGATGGACAAAACACTAAGGCCTGGTGTATGTTGGGCCAGTGTGTTGTATGCAGCCCTTTTTACACTAGCTATCATGGAAACAGGACAAAGCCCCAATTTGAGAAGGTTAGAAGACACAGGCATTACAGATGGAGAAGGCAGTACAATTTTCTGGGAATCCTGCCCTTCCATGTCCCTGTTTAGTGAGTGTGTTGAATACGTGATTGAGCCAGGAAGAGGAACAGTTGTTACAGCATAAAACTTAGAGGCAAAAGATAGAATCATAGAATGGTTTGGGGTGGAAAGGACCGTGAGATCATCTAGTTCCAACTCCCCTGCCAAAGGCAGGAATTTGGTTAAACATGAACTTACTTCTTGCAGTTTCCCAGATGCAAAAATATAGATCAGTACTTCAGTGGTGTGAGGTTAGGAGAGCTAACACACGCTATTCTCCTCTTTAATGAAATAGGGATATGTGACACAAGTGATAAGATTTAAACTTTCTGTGTGTGCATTATCACTCTTCGCCCAGTCTTTCACTCAAATTAGTACAAATTCTCTGCAATTCCATTCTTCAGATATTCTCTGACATTTCATATCTTCAAGATAATAAGAAAAAAAAAAGAGGAAAAATAACCCCATGTACTTTCTTGACTGCCTTTCCTGTAAGGTTATTACTCCTGGAGGAATCCTGGAAGAGGCTCCTGGTTTGTGCAGTCTCTGTGCTCTGTGCTAAATGAGCATGGAAAACAACTTGAGATCATGCAGATCCTCACACGGGTCAACTATGTGGTTGCCACCAATTTTGAATCACAGTCTGATGATCCACGCTTCAGTGAGAAGAAGCAGATTCCCTGTGTGGTCTCTATGCTCACTAAGGAACTTTACTTCTGAAAGTGTATTTTTAATGCAGCCAGTGATGAAGAATCAGGATATGGTTTTGGGTGGAGATTTGATTATAAACCGGAGTAACACATTTTTAATAACAGAAATGTAATTACACTAGACTTTTATATTGTATAAGCTGGGGTATCTGATGGCTGGACAATATGCAAGATTTTTAGGAAGAAATAACTGCTGTGGGCCAATCCGACAGCTAATACTAATGACTGTATCTTGATTTCCCTTAGTGTGGCTGTCATGATTTATGGCTACTGAAGGCATTCTGAGAGTAAGCTACCTGACCCATAAAGGTTTATTCCAGAAAACAGATTGTAAATTCAGAACAAAGAAATTAAATAGTGAGATTCCATCTTTTTTTTCACTGCTAGCTCATGGAACCATAACTTCCTTGGAAATTTCCAAAGACCATCATATGATGAGTATGTCCAGTGATGAAACCATTTGTAACTATTTAAAAGGGTGCTTCTTAGTCTAATATGGTCATTTCCTCTATAAGAACATTATTACTGAAGACTTAATGGTTGTTCTGTGCTTAATCTGGAAGCCAATTTATTTAGTTATCACTCTAGCATAAGATGGATGAATAAAAAATCAGGTTTTGTCAACACTTCGCCCGCATAGTGTGGAAATGTAACAAATAGAAAATTCAAAATTTTAATTGTAAATGATTGGCTAATTGTAATTGGATGCTGCCTTATTAAGTGCCTTTGTAAAGATTTTTGCCTCACAAGTGCCAGTTAACTGATAGAACTGAGACAGTGATACTGCAGTTTTTCTACTTGCAGCAACAAAAATGTCTGCTTGTTGATTCAGAAGTCTTGAGCAAGTTAATAGCAAAGGTTTGTTACAAAACATTAACATTTAATGTTGAAATGATAGAATTATATGTTCCAGTAACAAACGGATGTTCAGGTATAGCTTCTATTTGTGAGGAATTTTGCCAACACTGGAAATACTTACTTGAATCAGAAACCAGAAGTGCCTTTTTAGGGTCTTGATTTTGTATTTTGGGGTTACGTCGCTGATGTTTATATTCCTACTTTTTATATTCTCTTTAAAGTTGATAGCTAGCTCAAAAAAGTAAGTTTAATGATGGTTAAACTGATAAATGATCAGTTGTTCTCCCTTTTCCCAGTTAATGTACTCTTTCCTCTTTTGCAATCTTCTAAGAAATAAGTGCATATTATTAAAGCCAAGTTACCAAATTACTCAGTTTATTTTCTTACAAATACTGTGACATAACGAGACATATTTTTATTTTCATAAGTCAAATCTACAGGTGTTTGAATTAAAGCAGTGATTGTTTTATGGATGTCTTGAGCATGAAATCAATAAAGGCCTTTTTAAAAAATGTCCTGTTAGTACCTGCGTGTTTGTTGCTCAGTCTGGTGAACTGAAAACCAGCCACAATACATCCCAAAGCCCTCCTCAGCCAGGAATGCAGAAGTTCTTTGGCCCCTTTTCAAGATAAGGTTTACAGTGGGTAAGCCATGAAAAAAGTGAAAGGTGAAAACACTTCAAAGGAAATATCGTGATCTACCAGCATGAAATACCTTTATACAGTAAGCTTTACAGTTATGTAAGTAGCATAAGAAGTAGCTTCACTGTTTTATGCTTTAAATGTTCTTTAAATCTGAACTTTGTTACATTTTATTGTACTTTATTATCTTTTAGGGTTCTTACTGTTGCTTTATCTTCCAGTCCTGGGTGGATACTACGTTTTAGGTACAGCTCCGGGGAAATGAAGGGACTTTTAGAAAGCTGAAACAATAAATACAAGTCGCATCCAGGCTTTTTTTTCTGCATAGGAGATGTTTATGGCTGCCTCATATGTGTGTATTTTGTCATTGCTTTTAAGTGAATATTAATCTTTTGGATTTCCCCTTTCAGAACAGTCTTAAATTTGCTTCCCATGTCACTGGCAGGAGTTTCCGTGTGGGTCAGATTTCAGGGTGTTTGTATTTGCGCATGAACTATAAGAAGGCTGTCACAATACAGGGCAAGGACACATCGTGCTTTGCTCCAGGAGGCAACACAAGGAGTTTGGAAATGTTTAAAGGTGTATTGCTCTAAAACCTTCTACGCCATACAGACATTTTACCTGTAAGTATTACCAGTTTGTTTTCCTTATCTTGGTATTATATTTTGGAAGCTTTATAATAGCCTATATCTAAATAATTTGAAGCATTTTATTTGCATTTTAACTGAAGTGTCTCATTGCATTTCAAAAGATTGAAAGCAATCAAATCTCCTAATGCCAGGCACACAAGAATGCGAGGGGGAATAGTCATAGAATTGGTGGTGTCTATTCTGATTTAGACATAAGCTGTTTAAAAATGTTGCTTTCTATTGAAAAGACAATTAAATGCAACAATTAAAACCCTGTTCCCAAAACGCACAGTGAGATAACACAACTGTAACCTCATGGGTTTCTGTCTTCCTGCCTGTAAATCTTGACTTTTGCTGGGACCTAGAAGAGACTTTCTTCCTGTCACAAGCTCTTGGAACGTTGTTTTGCAAGAATTGCTTCATTTGCCTGTTACAGTATCTCTGTCAGTCATGTTGAAAAGAATATCACTTTGCCTTTCATTGCAACCCTCCTGTTGACTCTAACAATCTGACTTGATGTGCAGTTATTTTTAGGTTTGGAAGTTGCTTTTTTGTCCTTTTTTTTTGCGGGGGGTGGGAGGGAGGGTAGATAGGAGATGAAAACCCTGGCAGTAAGTTTTATAACAGTCTGTCTGCTCTTGTACAACAAATGTTTCTCCTTAAAAGGCAAAGTCACAAAGGTTCCCCTAAAAACAACCAAACCAGAACCCCACAAAGAATACAGGCAGAAATGCCCTGCCGAGATCTCCAGTGGTCCTGAGTTTGCGGTGGGTCATTCTCACCTATAGCATGGTATTGCCTGGAACAGGAGATGAGGAAGTCTATAGCTTTAGTTGTGTCAGGGGTAAAAATTTGTCTGTAACCCTGTGTCAGGTGAGAGAGGCCAGAAAATAGCTGGCCCTTTCTGACAACCACTGCTGACAATACCATGTGTACTTCTGGCACTGTGGAGTCAATCACTGAAGAAACAGAAGCAAAAGAAACCCCTTAGATCTCTCAGTCCAGCCAGAGAGCTCAGCAAAGGACTAGAGAACAGCACTTGTAATCATAGCATCATAGAATCGTAGAATAATCCTTCACATTTTCCCAGAAGAGGCTCTGCAGCTTCAGGTGGCACACATGTTGGGAGATGGTATAACCTCATTGTAGCTACAAACAACTTCAAGTTACTAAAAAGGAAAGGATTTGATTTTGCAAGAAATGGAAGCTTTGGGGTAAGGCAAAGGGAAACTTGAAAAGTTTCCTGAATGACGTTACAAAACAGACATGCTGCTACAAATTGGAAATGTAAGTGTATGAGAGAAGCTAGATCTGATCTTAGATGAACAAGGAAGGCCTTGTGAGATAATAAAAAGCTCTCCAGTGTGCAGAAGGTAGTGCTGTGTGTGCAGTTGGTGGGGAGGAGCGCAGAGCTCACCTACGCACTGCGAAGAAATAGCAGTGCTTTGGAGGTCTGGCTCTGTTATCCTGACACCCAAGCAGTGTTCTTGTCAACGGAAAGCACCAAAAGGCAAATTAGCTCCAAAACCAAACCCCAGTGGAAGCCCATTAACCAAACTCACCATTTACCTTCTAAATGCTTCATCTCTCGAGCACTTATCAAATCCCAAGACCACTGCCTCCATGTTTTGTTAAAGAGTAATTTAACAAAGCTTTGGAGAAGTCCATGGGAAGGTATCAGTGCTTTCTGCCTCTCTGCCAGCCTCTGTTCTCATGTCTGCCGCAGCCTGGCTGTGCCAATGAGCAGGATGTTTATTTTCTTCTCAGGTTTACAGTGAGAGTCCCATTTCCCTGGTAATACTGGAGAAGACACTGCAAAACTAAGTTGATGTAAATAAACAGATACTTTCTGTTCACCCCTCTGAAAAATCATAATATTAATCCACCTCTTAGAAAGCTGTGAAGTTTATTTCGTCACTGTTTATAAATTATTCTGGGGGCACTACATTAAGAATGCTACAGACTTGCAAATTACTATAATTACCATAGTATTATGACTAGATTTTCTGAATAGATGTTTAATTCTTTAGGCCAACCTGTGCCTATTTTATACAGGGCTGATCACACTGCTAAGGCAGTGTCAGCAACATAGATGGGATGCAATATTCCCAGGTTATAGGTGTTCTGTCTAGTGCAGAGGAAGGGGCAAAGTTCGACTGGCAGGTCACACCATGTCCTAGGCAAATCACCTCCTTGGCCTACATGAATTTGTAATTTCTTATTATATGTAATTTTACAATTATATTGTAATGAATATAATATTGGGGCATAACAGGTATAATTTACTTTGTAATATAAAATACTATGATGTATTATGGTATGCTTATATGAAATACAGTTATTTCTATAGTGTATTATAGATTTTGCTATGTTTATTTTACATAGTTTAATCATCACTGTGGGGAAAAAACCCACATGTGGGATATTTGTCATTTTCTCAGGCAACTGTGCATGCAGTGAAATGCTGCTCAGCAACAAGGAAAGCCAAAGGAATTAGCTTCAAGCTTTTTGCTCTGCTTACTATTTGGGTGGAAGAAACAATCAGGATGGCTTCTACAGCTAGAAGAAATTCTGCAGGTACAAAATGTTATTTACTAAGGTTTGTCAGTAGTAAGGTTGGATCAAGAGATCTCACCTGGGCTTACACTGCGTATTAATTCTGCCCTCTGCTTCCTTCCTTAAAGAATCTGTCCTAAATGCAGCCTTTTCCCTTATAGCAGAATTTTTCTTGTCCCTAACACAGAGGTTGAACTGACATTTATAAAAGAGAGTTAAAAGCCTCAAAAATTAACTGGGAACTGGAAAGTACAGTCACTATCTCCAAGGCACTGGTGTTAAAGCCTTGCCTCCACTGAAGTCAGTAGGAAATGGGATTTCAGAACCAAGCATTTCTTGCATCACCACAAAGTTCGGTCATGTTATATTTCCTAGTTCTTCCTAGAAGAACTTCTGTACCTTCCCTTACTGGAAGATCTAAAATGAGGTTGCCTGTGCTCCTTTCAGT